GAACTAATAAGTGAATTCAGTAAGGTCATAGAATACGAAATCAATGTACAGAAATCCATTGTGTTCTATATGCAAATAATGAACTAGCAACAAGTGTGATTAAGACAACAATCCCATTTACAATTGCATCAAAAAGAATAAAATACCTTGGAATAAATTTAACCAAGGAAGTGAAAGCCCTGTACTCTAAAAACTATATAAGACATTGATGAAAGAAATTTAAGGTGAGAGAAATAAATTGAGAGATATTCAATGCTTGTGGGTTGAAAGAATTCATATTGTTAAAATGGCCATAATATTCAAAGCAATCTACAGATTCAAGGAGATAGAGAACCTTGAATAGATACCTCAGAAATAAACCCACACGAATATGGTCAATGAATATATGACAAAGGAGACAAGAATATACAAGAGGGAAAAGACAGTCCTCAATAAGGGTGTTGGGAGAGTTGGATAGTTACATGCAAAATAATGAAATTGGGTCACTGTTTTACACCATTCACAAAAATAAACTTGAAATGGATCGAAGACTTATGATAAGACTTCAGATACAGTCTTTAACTATAAATCTCTAAAAGAAAACATTGGCAGTAAAGTTTTGAACATTGACATTAGTATCTTTTTTTTTGGATGTGTTTCCTGAGGCAAATGTAACAAAAACAAAAGTAAACACCTGGGCTGCATCAAACCAAGAAGCTTCTGCAGAGCAGAAGAAAAAAGGCAGCCTACTGAGTGGGAGGATACATTTGCAAATGGTAAACTATGTAAGGGACTGATGTCCAAAATATATAAAGAACCTATACAATTTAGCACCCTCCCAAAAAGAAAACAAAGCTAAACTAAATAATCCCATTTAAAAATGTGCAGAAGACCTGAGTAGACATTTTTCCACAGACATACAGATGGCCAACAGACCCATGAAAGTTGCTCTACATTACTAAATAGCAGGGAAATCCAAATAAAAACCACAGTGAGATATCACCTCACAGTAAGAATGGCTAGTATCAAAAACAAAAAAATAACCAATGTTGGTGAGGGTGTGGGAATAAAGGGAATCCTTGTGCACTGTTGGAGTGAATGTATATTGGTGTAGCCACTGTGGAAAGCAGTATAGAGGTTTCTCAAAACAACTACAAATAGAAATACCATACAACCCAGTAATTCCACTCTCAGATATTTACCCAAAAAAAAAGAAAAAAATATCACTATTTCAAATAGATATATGCACTTCAAGTTCTTAGTATTATTTACAGTAGTCAAGATCTGGAAGCAATGTAAATTTCAAATATCAATAGATGAATGGATAAAGAAGAGGTGGTATATATATATGCAATTGAGTATTAGCCATAAAAAAGAATCAAATCTTGTCATTTGCAGCAACATGGATGGACCTACAGGATATTATGCTAAGTGAAGTGAGACAGAGAAGACAAATTCCATATGATTGTACTTACATGTGGAATCTTAAAAACAAAACAGAAATAGACTCATAAACTCAGAGAACATATTGATGGTTGCCACTGGGGAGGTGAAATAGGTAAAGGTTATAAAAAGGTACAAACTTCCAATTGTAAAATCAGTAAGTCATGGGGATAAAGGTACATCATAGGGAATATAGTCAATAATACTGTAATATATTTGTATGTTGGCTCATGGTAACTACACTTACTGTGGTGAATATTTAGTAGTGTATATAATTGTCAAATCACTATGTTGTACACCCCAAACCAATAAATATTGTTTATCAACTATATTTCAATTAAAAAGAAATATTTCAGATGGCAAAAGGCAAATACCAATGAATTCATTCATATGTGAAATCTAAAAACATAATACAAGTAAAGGAACAAACAAAATAAAAACAAACTCATAAATAGGAGAACAAACCAGTGGTTGCTATAGGCAATGGGGGTAGGGTTTGGGCAAAATAGGTTAAGGGGATGAAGAAGTACAAACTTCCAATGACAAAATAAATAAGTCATGGTGGTGAAAACTACAGCATAGTGAATACAGTCAATAATCTTGTAGTACCTTTGGTGATTGACGGTAACTACATTTTATGGTATTTTGTAATGTGTATAATTGCCGAATCACTGTGTTGTTCACTTGAAACTAACATGATATATATCAGCTATACTTCAATAAAATAAAAAGTGCAAAATTTAATAAAATAACATAGAAAAAGGTGAGGCAGTAAATTTGATTATACAAAAAATGTTTATGTTAAATATCACTACAAAATGAAAAACAGGTGGGAATTTTGTAAAATATGCAATCTATATGAAAGACAAAGACACAGCTTCTATGATACAAGATTTTCATAAATCTGTAAGTAATGAAGATACCATTTAATACAAGCACAGACAACAGATGGAGACAGGTAGTTCAAAGAACAATAAAATAAAAAATTCTCAACATTGCAAATAAAGAAATGCAAATTAAATAAGGTTCGTATTTTACTTATTAAAATGGCACAGATTAAAAACATTATAATATCTGTGTTTGGGGAAAATGTTGGGTGATATGTTCTTGGTAGGAGTGTAAACTGATGAAATTTTAAAAACAAACAAACCTTGGTTGACAATGTACATTAAAGTTTAAATGTTTTACTCTCTGAAATTTTCTTTAAAAATGCATTCTAGAGATACATTTGTTGAAGCACAGAAAGGATATCCAGTGTAAATTTTTTATAAATAGCATGAAGTTGAAAACTATTTTTCTCTCACCAGGAGATTGGTTATATAAGTACTAGAATACCTATATATGGTGTAATACTGTCTGTCTTATCACTGAAAATTGAGATTAATATATCATTTGGAAAACTATGAAACAGGCTAAATTGCTGTTCTTGTTGGTTTGGTAATCTATGAAATGGCATTAAGTGAGAAAAAAAAGTAATATGTTTACTGTATGCATAATAAGATTCCAATTGCATTAAATTAAAAATATGTGGAGGAAGATATTCTTGTATATACACTGGACATTTCTGAAGAGATGCACAGAAAACTGTTAGCTGGCTGCTTCTTGGGAGAGAACTCTTACTTTTCTGTCTTACCTATTATATAAATATTTTAAATTTATTTATAGGTATTCTATGATGGAAAAGAGTAGCTAACAGAAATGTGTAATGCTAAATAACTGATGAAAGAAAAGTTAATAGATTAATTCCAACTGAATGAGAAAAAAAGGATATATATATGCTATTGCATATAGAGAATCTCTTGCAATATATACATGGTAGTTTTAATGGTAGTTGTTTCAGATGTTGAATTATGAGATATTTTGTAGTTCAAATGTTCCTTTGACTACTCTTGTAGGAATGAACATTGATTTCATGATCAGAAAAAATATAATAAAACCTTATTTTGACTTAGGTTTGCCTTATTTTGACATTGGCTGCCAGTAGCTTTTATTGAAGTTAGTGTACTCATAGGACGGGCAGCCATGTGTGTGTAAGCATGTGCTTCACTTTGCCTGGAAGAGTCTCAGATCTGCAGCAATAACTGGAGTTCAATAAAATATTTGTATCTCACTGTCTTTCTTTACCCGGCTGTCAAAAAAGTCTGGTTCAAATATCATTAATTCTAAGTTTGTTAAGCCTCCTCTCCATTCTTCTAAATATGTGGATGTTAGATTCTCTCTTGGGGTTATGTGTGAAATCATCTGCCACCTTCTTTTTTTATGCAGGTTTATTTAGCATGGAAAGAAAAGAGAGAATGTAGGAATGATAATCTATAACAATTAAAAAATTTGACTTGTTTTAGGAGGAGAATGACAAAAATAGATGTATGACCTTACCATCTGGAAGACCTAAGGATCTTGTTGACACCAATATTCATAGTTTGAAAACCATTGCTGTGACATGCTTTCATACATCTCTTCTGAAACCCACACAATCTGCATGAGGTTTGCAAGACAGGATGATTTTCTAAAGATATCTAAGAACTGGCTCTTTGGAAAAGCATCTTTTCATGTGTCTGTTGGGCATCTGTTTGTTTTCTTTGGGAAAATGTCTATTCAGGTCCTCTGCCCATTTTTAATCAGGTTATTTATTTCTTTGGTGTCCAATTTTATGAGTTCTTTATGTATTTTAGCACTACATAGTGATTTTTTTATGTTGTGGCAACATCTTTTCGCTATTAAATACCATATTATGTAAAAGTCTTACCAACTCTTTGTAAAGGGTTATACAGTTTCTGAGCAATCTCATGGATATAAGAGTAGTATTTACATAAAATATTTACCAATTTGCTTTAAAAGAATTGAATGATTTTGAAACATTCAAAGTTTTAAGTTGAGTATATAAATTGGGTTGAAAGAGATCATAGAGGTTATATAGGCATTTCATAGAAGTGTAGAAAGCATTAGGTTAAGCAAAGTTAAGATAGATGACTTCACTACAGGTGTTCTCAGAGTCTTTTGTGAATCTCTAAATGGATGGAAGAGATACACGGTAAAGAAAAAAAGTTTTCAAATTTACTAGCCATCTGCCCTCCCACTCTTTTTTCCGGGTAACATTTAATTATATCTCTCTGTCTGCCTCTATAGTTACTAGTTGTGTCTCCTAGTATTTTGTCCTACATTTTCAGGAAAATTGATGTGCTCTTATCTTCTTCATTATATAGGTGAGAAGATTGAGCTCTAGGGAAATTAATGATTTAGTTTAACTGCTAATTAAAAGCAATGAGTATCAGAACCCAAGTGAGGAAGCTCCAGGAAATTGTTTTATCCATTATCCTTTATTATTACCTCCCAATATTAAATGTTACTTTCTCAAAGTATATCCTTTCTAATGAGTAGTGTTTTTTTTAGTCCCTGTTAATAAATATCAGTTTTTAAAAAATGTCTCAAATTTGTATATGACTGTGTGTGTATATATTTGAATATGTTTTCATTCTGTATTTTGTTCTTGATACAACGTTTTAGGACTCCTGTTAGCTTTACATGGCATTTTGAACTGGAAAATCACATAATTGTTTAATCTGCTTTTTCTTTTGCAGCGGCTTTAATTAGAGGAAATCATAGAAACTGTGCTCAATTTTCGGGCTCCCTTGACTGGTTAATCAGCCGATTGGAAAGACTGGAAGCTTCTTCTGGTATGTTTTCCAGTTATATCTTTATTACGTTTTTCCTGTTTCCTTCTCTTTTATGGCCTGTAAGAACATAAAAACACACTCTGAGGATAAGTGCAATGTAAATGTTTTCCTTTTAATGGGTTAAATTTTGTACTTATTGATGAAATCATTGGAATTGTATTAGTTACTTCTGAAAAGTAATTGGACAGTATCTTATTAATTTACATTTAAAAAAAAAGGATGTGCCAGAATTCCCACTCCTTTTCAAATCAATTACTCTAAATGTACTATATAAACAAAAAGGATTGGTTTGGAATGTCCATTTTTAACTCATGTTCAAATGATCAGACAGATTTGGAAAAAAAATTAGTTTTCCAAATCACACAGCACAGTATTTTATTTTAAAGTGTAACTCTGGGGAGAGGAAATCCTGGGGCAAAATACCTCTAAAACCAAAATCAGTCAAAGGGAGAAATAAAATTTAAAACCCATTTATTGCTTACAAACTGCAATCCAGGGCCATCTCTTTCCTGCTCAGGCAGAGGCAAGCAAAACCTCCCCTAACCTGTCAGGTTCAGATCATCTCTCAGTTTCCCAGATAATTACCCACTGATATGGAGATGAACCTTTCTCCACCCCTGAGGAACACCTGTTGATGTGCAGATGAACTAAAGCCAGGCGAGATATTCTGGAAATATTACAATTTTACCCACAAAAGGAATTTAGTAGATACTAATAAACAGTCTTTATCATAGTAAAATAGTTGTAGGCAATAAACTTGATACGTCTGTTTCTAACAAGGGTGTTAATTTTATTTTGGTGTTATGGAGACTTACAAGTGATTACCAGGCTTGCCGAAGGCTTCAGCTCTATAGATGGTCTCAGCAACACCCCCAAATGAATCTATTGCTCCTCCATCTGTTGGCAAAGTATTTCATTAGACTACTTTGGCAGCACTAAAGCCGTTTAATGTTATCTATTCTTCTTACCTGTCTCCTACACTATTAATCCTTGAAGGCAGGAGCATGTGTTCATCCATCACCCAGCTGGCACTACTGGGTGCTTAATCATACTTGTTAACTGAATGAATGAATCAATGTTTAAATTCACTTAAGAAATCTCAACCCATAGAAAAAGAATTACATGACTTTTGCATGAGAAAGGCCCCCTCAGGGACAGATTTGTTGGAATTGAATGAAGGGAGAGAGAAGAACAGATGGTTGTGGTCAAAGAGGGTAACTTTAAGTGATGGAGCAAAACTTCAGATTTTAAGATACAGAGAAATTTAAGTCACAGTGAGTTAAAAGGCACGGTTGGATTGTTGGGTGGCAGAAGTAGAAGAGAGAGGAATACTATTGAGATAAAAAGGTTTAAGAATTATAACATGAGGTTTTTGGGCCATTATAACATCAATGATATGACTTTAAATCAATACAGAATATTGAATAAGGAGAGAACTGAATAACTATTATGAGGAAGTGGTTGAATTAGTGGTGCAAGATGATGGCAGAAATTGTAAAAATGGATAATTTTTTGGGTCAGAGTGTCCATAATTGTTGGCAAACTCCACTAGATGCAAAGAGAGAGGAGGAGAGCAACCTTTACTGCTTCACTTAAAAAGAAAAGCACAGGAAGTGATTCAAGAAAAAGAGGAGAGGGAGAGGACAGAACAGATCCCAGCATCCTTTAAGCTCAGCTAGGTATAGTTCAGAGTTAACAGTCTTCAGTGTAGCCATGTATATATATATGTAGGCATGGTTCAGTTGGATACAAATGACTATTTGCTATTATCTTTTCCCAATCCAACTATTGGTTGCAGGCATTTCTACTTAAAATAGAAGCCCTGTGTTCAGAGAAAGCATCAATGTTAGGTTAAGCATTCTCTAAGGACCCTTTAGAGAAAGGAGATTGAGGCATGGAACATTTAAATTACTGAGTTGAAGTGCTAGAATTAATTGTTATAACCAAAATGAAAATCCAGCTCCCTTTATATCAGGGTTGAAATAAGTTCACTATACTTTGTAGCCACTTAATCTTTGAGCACTCAAGGATTTGATATTCTCTACTGTCGTTACATTAATGCTTTTAGTGAACTGCTTTTTTTCGTGGAAGAAGTAGAATGTTGTTTAGTTTTTAGAGACAGGAACAATAATGATATGCATTTATATACACATACATAAATAATATAAATTGTATTTCATTATACTTTATGGTTTACTGAATGCTCATGTATGCATCATCTTATTTCTCTCTGTCTGGATGGGATTGCTGAGCACACCCTCTCCTCAGTTTGTCAGTCTCCCAGCTGCATTTCTGGTCTCTGTGTGTCTGTGTATGAGCAGCAGAGCAGAGCCAGGCATTCTATGAGCTCTACATTTCTTTCAGAACAGGTCAGTAGACAAAAATCAAAGTGAATTTGTGCAAGCTTAAATAGAAATCTGATGAATACTTGAAAAGGGTCAGCAAAAGGATGAGTTGCTTAAACAGCTTATGTTAGGTTGGGTTCCATCAGAAGCAGACCTTGAGAAAAGGATTGGAGGGCAAGTTTATTTAGAAAGTGAGTGGACATGAGTCTAGGTAGAAGGGGGCCAGAGAGGGTGTTGTGACCCTTGCTTTTACCTTGGGGAGTTCCAGGAAGTTGTGTGGAACATGTACCTTGGAGTTATGCCACCAGAGGGGTGAGGGAGTGGGGTGTTTGTGACCAAGTTCTCTTTGTCACTGGGTAGTGCTGCTCCCACGGGGCATTAATTCTGTAGCTCTTCCACTTGCCGCTGTGGTCAGAGCAAATCTTGAAGCAAAGAAATGTAGGAGCCTGCAGTTCGAATGTCACTGGATGGAGAGGATAGTAAGTGTTTGAGTAGATCCCTGGTAGTATCTGCTACCCAGCCAACTACTGTGTATCTCATTATATTACAGCAAGGCTCAGAAAGGGCAGCTGAACAGATTTTTTTTCCTTTTGCACATCCTGCATCATCTAAATTTGTCTAAGATCACTAGTGCAGAAGGCTTTATTAGAGTATCTGGTCAGTTTAGAAGAACGACCTGATAAATATCTTTGGTTAGGAGCAAGATAAATTAGGCATTGTCTCAGGCTTCCTGTGTGACTGTCTCTGAGCCAAATTTAATTGAAAAGACAGAAGACTTGTATGAGCACTTACAGTTGGTTGAGTTGATGTATTTCTGAAGGTTATGTTTTTCTTTGTGATGTTTTCAGTACTTGAAATGCTACTTGGGCATTTCAAGGGATATCTGACTAAACACAATCAGCTGGTCAGGGGGCTTCTTACGTTTCTGAGTTTTCATTTTCTATAGTTTATTCTTTGGATAATTTTGCAATGATGGAAGTGACCTTCTTTGGAATTCCTGACAGTTCCTCCCCACTGTTAGTAAGTGCCACAAATGAAGTCCCCTCTAAGTTTAAGCAGAATAAGAAGTCTTTGAGAGGTCTAGAATTGCCCAAGCTTTGCACCCACACAAACTACAACTTTTGGTACCTGTAAATATGATATCTTAAAGCCTCCAAAGATCTAACAGCTATATTTTTGCAAAGCATAAGCTCATCACTTTTTAAAGGGAAAAATGTATAACTGTGGAATATGTCTCAGAATCTTGTGTGCCAGAATCTTCTTCCTTAATGTTGACTTAGATATGAACAATTGAGCTACAAAGAGTATGAGCTCACAAGATATTGTATGAGATCCATTGTTAGTGATGCAGAAATCATACCAACCTTTTGAGTGATACCAGAAAGTCAAGCAATGCTAGCAGTACCAGAGAAGAGAGTTTTGTAGGAGATATAACCTTGGAGAATGCAACTTTAGCTATGGATTTAAAGCCTTTGATTTAGCAGAAAGCCAGCTACGGTATACACAGGAGATGATGCAACCCAAACTTTATGAAAAATATTAGATCAGAATGATGATGGCATTGGAGACTTTTTAAAGAATTATTTTGGGGGTCAGTATCTGACCCTGTTACTCCATACCATAATCATTTACCTGCTTCCATATGTTTATCTATAGCATATTACAGTGATTAGTGTTTTTAATAATTATCCTGGGTCCTCAAGATATGTAAATTATGTTCAATGCTGATGGATCACTTAAGAAGATAGGGAAAACAGCATACAAATGTTGGAAATACTATATTAGCAATTAAAGGTTATTAAGTTAATAATTAGCTAAGAATCTTGTCAAAAATTACTCAATTTTGAATGTTGCTAAGAAAGTCACCATACAGCCACACTGCTCCATTCTTTCTCAGCAAAGTATTAAACTGTAGTTGGAAAGAAAAAAGAGGTTAGAATGAGGAATCTGGATTTGGAGGGCCTCCCTTTTTTGATAATATTTTACCAGCAATGTGAAAAGTGAACAAAAGAAGTCCTTCAAAGTAATGTCCAAATGAAACAGAACATTCTTTTCTGAATGAAAAAATGATCAAAGTTGCTGGTTTATCTGAAACCTTTATTCTTCTCAGAATGCTTTTCTAAAAGCCTGTGTGTGGGCTAGATGAAAAATTACATTTCTAGAAAATGGTTCTTGTGAGGTAAAAATCCTATCTCATGTTTGATAAAAACTTAGTGCTTTGTGACATAAAGATGATCGATTTTATAATCATTTCATAGTTACCCATTTAACCATATTAGGCATTTCTAGTACAAGGCATTGAAGTTTGAAGGAAATCAGAAGTGACTGGGCCAAGAGCATCCTTGACTTTTGTAGACAGATGGGTCCGGCAGGCCTTGTTGCAGCAGACGCCTCTCCAGATTGTGCAGTAATTTGCAAGGCTTTTGGTTCAAGTGCTGCGTGACTAAATAGGAATTTCAAATTGACATACAGGCATTCAACTCATCTGTCCGTTTGTCTTGCCTGCTTTACATTCTAGGTCAGTATGCATAATGGCTGTGTCTCCGTCGCACGTGTTGGTGGTTCTCTGCTTGTACTGGTCAGTACTGCAGTGCTGGGATCTGAGTGCTGGGTACCTCAGCTTCTCTGATGGGTCCTCTGGGGGAAGAGCCTAAG